CAACACTATAAAACCTTTGTTTTCAAATGAAACCTCAAAAAAAAAATTTCTAAACAATTAGTTTTTTTTAAAAGTTAACTTAGACTTAGGTTTTTCTTCAATGAAATTAATTACAAAATATTTTCTATAAAAAAAACCTAAAAAAATAATTTCTCACTTTACATCTTCTTGCATATTTTACTTTTTTTTTAAATATAAATTATGTAATTGTCAAAGCCTTGTAATAGTAATTAGGGTTTACTTTACTTGTCATACCCATTTGTAAATTTAGATCCCCCATCCCCAAGTGATGTAATAGCATAGTAATTTTACTTTCTGTAATTTATCGCTTTCATATTAAATGTTAGTAATTAGGGTTTGTATGGAAAGATAAAATCAACAATTAGCAAACCCTAATTCAAGTAAACAATGCATGTAAATCAAACACACTTGCACACTTACACCCTTAGGGTAATTCTGCTTTGTTGCCTTACAAAAATGGCCATGTTATGCATATGGGATGTCTTAGTAAAAGCAATAAAAAATACAAGATCATAGTCCCTCGATGACGCTACAAAATGTTGTCTTTCAAAATGATCTTAGTCCCTCAAAGAGAAATGCTAAGATATCTTACAACATTTCTATCATGGCTATATAATGACCCACGCCCATCCCTATACATCCAAAGATAAGATTTCTTACCAAATTAATGGTAAGATAGCAATATCAAAGGAAAGGAAGAAATGAACAAAGACTTTTGAGTAGTTAGATTGCTCCTAGTTGCTTGCTCATTTTCAAATTAAACACTCTTGCTTATTTCCAAAATAAACACCAACACTTTCAAAAACACTTCCAAAACCTTTTCCAAACATGAAATATTTTCAAAAGCTCCACACTTTGTATGTGTTCTTACGAACTAGGACAAGAAGAGAGCCCTGGTCAACATGGGCAGAAGGTTCAAAGAGTCGGTTCGTCAGATCCCGGTAGTGAAAGACTCATCTGAAGAGGACGAGAATCAAATTGGTGAGGTTAAGAGTACCCAGGCTGACTGTGTTAATGATCAAGCGTCTGATGATGATTATTTTAACGAGTAGTATCCACCTGCCGATGTCAAATACAAGCAGTTAGAAGACAGATTGAAGGCCGTCGAGATCCAAGTCATCCACGGTTTAGATTTTGATGATTTGGGTTTGATCTCTAGGGTGGTTATTCCCCACAAATTCAAAATACCAGTCTTTGCAAAATAAGATGGGGTTTCTTGTCCAAAACTCCACCTGAAATCTTATGTGCACAAGATACAGCCGCACACTGCTGATAAGAAGCTATGGGTTCACTTTTTCCAAGAGAGCTTAGCCGGAACGCAGTTAGAATGGTTCTACCAGTTAGATGGTTCCCGCATCAATACTTGGGAAGACTTAGCTACCGCATTCTATCATCAGTACCAGTATAACACCGACTTGGCACCAACAAGAGTTAAGTTGAAAGATATGACCATGAGAAATAATGAAGGGTTTAAAGAATATGCACAAAAGTGGAGAGACCTCGCCAGTAGGGTTCAACCACCTTTGACTGATAGAAAGCACATTGACATGTTTATGGGAACCTTATCTGGTCCATTCTTTAACTTGTTGGTTGGCTATTCCTCTTCCGGATTTACCGAGTTAATCTTAACCGGTGAAAGAGTTGAAAGTTGCATCAAAACTGGAAAGATTCCCATGGCATCCACCTCCACTTCAAATCCTATCAAGAAACCTTTTGCCGCGAAGAAGGAAATCAATGTTGTGTACGGGGAAAGGGCCCGTACCAAGAAGAATGATCATCCGTCTGTTAATGTTGTCTGAATCTCCAATCCAACTCCTACTCTAAGACCATCTGCTAATCATCAACAATTTGAAACTCCGAGAAGACAATTCACGAGGTTGGGAATGTCACTATCTCAAGCCTTACAACACTTGCTAAAGGCTAATTTGGTAACATTGCGCGATCCTCCTCCCAACCCAGATACCTCTTCACCAAAGTATAATCCAAACGCCAAATGTGCTTACCACTCAAGCAGCCCCGGGCACGAGACTGACCAGTGATGGGCCTTGAAGAATAAAATTCAGGATTTGATCGATAACAAGACTATTGAGTTTGATCCTCCTCCAACTCTGAATGTAATCACCGCGCCTATGCCGAAGCATGGTAAGGATGTCAATGAGGTTAACACTGTAGGTGATTCTGATGAAGAAGCTGCATTTGAAAATTGGGTGTATCCTACTACAACGGAGCTAAAGAATTGGAATGCAAAGGACTTCGTGCCTATCTCCTTCATTGAGGAGTAATCTACTTATTTATTGCTTTTTATTGAATTCAAGAACATTTTGGCGATAATATTTAAACAATTACTTTTAAGCCATGTGCCTGGCCCGGGGCACTTTGGTCCATCTGTCAATGGTCTTATTTATGTTCATCTAATCATATGATCATTCAATACAAATCATTGGACTCTTTTGCCTTTAAATCTTTGTGTTCATTGTCTTTCTTTTCTTTCAAATACATTTTTCAAAATAGCCATGTATCTTACATGCGCACACACACACACTCTTGCAGGTCCTAATCCACTCTAGATCTTATTGTTAATGACTCTACTATTGCCGACTATGACTTCGAATGTCCAATTAACCAAGCCGAAGACGAAGGCGGGGAAGATTGTGAAATACCGGAAGAACTAGCCAGACTTCTATTACAAGAGGAAAAAGCTATTCAGCCGCACGAAGAGTCAGTTGAAGTCATCAATCTGGGTACCGAAGAAGACAAGAAGGAAGTCGGGATTGGTGCTAACTTAGAAGACAGTGTCAAGAGCTGGTTGGTTCAAATTTTGCATGACTATATGGAAGTATTTTCTTGGTCTTACGAAGATATGCCAGGGTTGGAGACCGACGTCGTAGTTCATCGTCTGCCGACAAAAGAAGATTGTCTTCTTGTCAAACAAAAGGTTCATCGCATGAGGCCTGATATGTCTGAGAAGATAAAAGCTGAAGTGATGAAACAATTTGATGCAAGGTTCCTAGTTGTGTCATCCTATCCCCAATGGGTTGCCAATGTGGTGCCAGTGCCAAAGAAAGACGGAAAAGTTCGCATGTGCGTAGACTATAGGAATCTGAATAGGGCAAGCCCCAAAGATGATTTCCCCCTACCACACATTGACGTCTTGGTCGATAATACTGCTCAGAATAAAGTCTTCTCTTTCATGGATGGTTTCTCCGATTATAATCAGATAAGGATGGTTCCCGAAGACATGGAGAATACCACTTTCATTATGCAATGGGGTACCGTTTGCTACAAGGTTATGCGGTTCAGATTGAAGAATGCAGGGGCAACATAACAAAGGGATATGGTAGTTTTGTTTCATGATATGATTCATCATTAAATATAGGTATATGTGGATGATATGATTTCCAGATCACAAACTGAAGAGGAACATCTTGATCACCCGCACAAGCTATTCGAAAGGCTGAAAAAGTATAAGTTGAGGTTGAACCCTAACAAGTGCACATTTGGAGTACGATCTGGAAAGCTTCTAGGTTTTGTGGTCAGCAATAAAGGCGTTGAAGTTGATCCTGCCAAGGTAAAGGCCATTCAAGAAATGCCAGTCCCTCATTATGAAAAGGAAGTTATAGGATTCTTGGTTCCTCTCAATTACATCGCCCGCTTCATATCTCACTTGACTGCTACTTGTGAGCCAATCTTCAAACTCTTGAAGAAAGATCAAGTAGTCAGATGAAATGATGAATGCCAAGCTGCCTTCGACAAAATCAAAGAATATCTACAAGAACCTCCTATTCGCATGCCTCCAGTTAAAGGAAGACCCTTGATCATGTACTTGACAGTACTAGAGAATTCTATGGGGTGTGTTTCGGGCCAACATGACGAGTCTGGCCAAAAAGAGCATGCTATTTATTACCTGAGAAAAAATTTTACCGACTGTGAAACCAGATATTCGTTGCTCGAGAAAATTTGCTGCACTCTGGCATGGGCTACTCGTCGGCTAAGACAGTATATGTTGACTCATACCATTCTGTTGATTTCTAAGATGGACCCAATCAAGTACATCTTCGAGAAACCTGCCCTCTCCGGACGGATAGCCAGATGGCAAATGACCTTGACTGAGTACGACATTCAATACACAATGCAAAAGGACGTCAAAGGAAGCGTACTAGCAGATCATTTGGCCCATCAAGCTGTTGATGATTATCAGTCCATGAACTTCGACTTCCCTGATGAGAACATACTACTAGTAACCGACTGCACGAAACCTGGACCGTATGACGGACCTGAACAAGGATCCCGATGGACTATGGTCTTCGATGGGGCTTCCAACGCCTTGGGTAACATGATTGGTGTCGTGATCATCTCTCCTGAAGGTTGCCACACTCCTTTCACTTCCAGATTATGCTTTGATTGCACTAACAATATGGCTGAGTACGAAGCGTGCATTTTGGGTCTGAAAGCTGCCATTGACTTGAGGATCAAACATTTGAATGTGTTTGGGGATTCCGCTCTAGTGATTAGTCAAGTAAAAGGAGATTGAGACACTAAACACCTTAATCTCATCCCTTACAAGGAACTTGTGCTATCCCTGATTCCCTACTTCGAAGAGATCACTTTTGAGCACTTTCCTAGGGAGAAAAATCAATTGGCTGACGCTTTGGCAACCATGTCTTTAATGTTCAATGTCAAATGGGACAACGAAGCTCCTATGATTACGATTGAGAGATTCGACGAACCTGCACATTGCTGTGAGCTTGACACTGACGCAGAAAAACCATGGTACCATGAGGTGATGAGATATCTTGAAGAACAAGAGTATCCCGAGAGATCATCCATCAACAACAGAAAGTTCTTACAAAGATTTTCAGTCAAATTCTTTCTAAATAATGGAATATTGTATAAGTGCAACCATCAACAGTGAAAAGTTTACAACACATAATGAAACTTTGCAAAAACTAACACAGTAGAAAATAAGCACAACAATAAAACTATGACATTTGTATCATCTGATTCATGTTTGAACCATTGGTCCTCCTCACTCTTGTTCTTCTTCTCACTCTTCTCTTTGGTTGGCCACCAAATATGATCACAAGCCATCTTGGCTTTCCAAATAAAAACATGAAATATCCAAGGCCTATTCCAAACACAAATCCACATCCATATCCTATTGCCACTGGTTTCCATCCAAATCCAAATCTCTCTTCACTCGAAAACATGTTAGGCGAAGGTGGAGAATGTTGTTCAGGTCCACATTTCTTTGTCAACGGAAATCCGCATAACCCAAAGTTTCCTTCATACGAATCATTTGAAAATGTATTGAACTGCTTTCCACGAGGTATTTCTCCCACAAGATGGTTATCAGAAAGATTCAAAAATTCAAGAAAATTCAAATCGGATAATTCGGCAGGAATAACAGCAGTGATCATATTTGAGGAGAGATCCAAAGATTCTAAATTTGTCAAATTTCCGATGGACCTGGGAATAATACCAGTGAGTCTGTTATGTGAAAGGTTAAGTCCTTTGAGTGCACGAAGCTCTCCAACAACATTTGAAATCTCTCCTTCAAATTTGTTTCTTGACATATCAATAATTGCAAAGTTCGTTGAAATTTTCCCCAGTGTGGAATCGATCCCCTTTATTGTCATGGTTACAGAATAGTAGTACCATGTACTACTAAGTTGACTATAAACATAATACAATGCCTCTGCCATATATGAAAAACTTGCATCCTCATCTTTCATCGCTTCTAACTTTTTAAAATATGCTTTTGGAAGTGAGCCACTAAAGTCATTGCCTGAGATGTCAAAAATAATTAAACTAGGAAATGAACTCTTGATCCTTAGATTAGAAATGGGACCATGGAACTTATTGTCTCGCAAAACCAACACTTTTAAATTTTCCAGTGTTTGAAGCCAATTAGGAAATTTGTCTTCTATTCTATTGCTGCCAAGATTTAAGACTTCAAGATTTTTGCAATGGGACAAAGTTTTAGGCAAACATTCTTCTAAATGGTTGCCATAAAGATTCAATGTAAGAAGTTGACTCTCCTTTGAAAATTTATTTGGCAAATTTCCATAAAATTTGTTCATTTGTAGATCCAAAACTTGAAGAGACGACAAACTAACAAGACATTGTGGAATGATACCTGTCAATTTATTGTGTGCAAGGTTGAGAAATTCTAGTGAACTCATGTTGCAAATTGAGGCAGAAAGTTCACCTTGTAGTAAGTTATAACTAAGGTCAAGGTAACTTATCTGGTAACCACTTCTTGAGCTATGATCTATTGATGTGAACATGTTTTGAGAGAGATTCAAAAATCCAAGTGAGTTTATTGTTTCAAGTAACCAATTCGGCACCCTTCCATTCAATTTGTTATTGGACATATCAAGAGAATAAAAACTTGGGGGCTTTCCAAGGAATTTGGGAAGTTGACTCAAACTCAAAGAAGACAATTCCAATGTAGTTAGTTCAACAAAAATGTAACTGAAATTCGATTCAATGTTTAGTGATAATTGGCTATTATGTGAAAGAGACAAAGAACGCAAATTTTGAAGTATGGAAAAGTGTTGAAAATCAAGAGCACCACTGAAGTTATTTGATGATAAACATAGTGTAGTTAGGTTTGAAAGTTTGAAAATTGATTTTGGAATATTTCCTTGTAGCTTGTTGGCACAAAGATAAAGCTCTTGTAAGGAATATGATGAGATTGCACTGATATGTCCCGTAAGTCGATTGTTTGATAGAGATAATATTGTCAAATAAGGCAAAGATAACAAGGAGGAAGAAATTGTTCCATTTAACAAGTTGTTATCTAAATTCAAATAAGTTAGTTTTTGAAACCCTGGGATTTTGATGGGTAGAGGACCCACTAATTTATTATAAGAGCAGTCTAATGTCAGAAGTTGATTCAAGTTAAATAACGAAGAAGGAATTTGTGCTTCTAAATTGTTTGAATATAGAGAGAGATGTTGCAGTTTGGTCATCGCTTCAAACACATTTGGTATTTGGCCTTTAAATGAATTGGATGAAAGGCTTAAACTAGTGAGGTGATGAAGGTTTGAAAGTGATATTGGAAGGTCGCCTCCAATTTTGTTATGACTCAAATCTAATTTTTGCAATCTATGTGACTGGTGAAATATATTTGGGATTTGACCACTAAGATTATTTACAGAGAGATCTAGAGAAGTTAGGCATGGAAGAGTTAAAAGTGAGGATGGAATTGAACCATTAAGAGAGTTTCCCATTAAACTTAGAGAAGTAAGATGTGTGAGGTTAGAAAATGATGGAGGAATTGGTCCTTTGACATGAATATTTGAAAAATCCAAAATTTTAAGAAAAATACTGGAACTCAGATCTGGAAGTTGGCCTCTAAGGTGATTGCCTGACATATATAATTCATGAATAGCTGGTAAGTAGAGAATGCTTCGTTTGAAGTTTCCCCTTAATCCCGTAGTTTGAAGACTAAGTGTAACCAAAGAGGAAGAATGATTGAAGAGCAAATCAAAGGAGTTTATTTTTATTGAAGACATATCTGTGTAATCCAAAAACATCTCCTTTAAATTTGTTGCATTTTGCACAAGCCTCTTCAATGTGCTCTCTTTCCAAACTAACCCATAATTATAAGAGAGATGAAGTGATGTTAATTTAGAAAGGTGTGAGATTTGAGGAGGAACCTCACCTTCAAAGGAAGATGCAGACAAGTCAAGATGTGTAAGACTCGTAAGACTCGCAAACATAGACTGAAATCGAGAGCCGAGGGAGAATTGATTGTAAGAAAGATCGAGTGTTTGGAGATGAGAAAGATGGAAAAGGGTACTGTTAGGATGCATTGTACCTTGAAGGCCTTCACAAGCAAGGTTGATGCCAATCACATGGCCGGAGATGGTGTCACAAGTGACTCCGTGCCATGAGCAACAATCACTCCCATTTTTCCATGTTGTTGTTTTCCTAAGAGTATCATAACAACGAGAATAATAAGTAGATATAGTGAATGAGGACCTGAACTCAAGCAAAGCATAATTCTCATCTTGATGACATAAGAAATTCAAAGAAGAGAATGATGGAAAATGAAAGAAAAAAAGATGCAAACACACAAGAAACCACTTCATGATTGATTAATCAAGCTTTGAAATTAATGAAGATTTTGTTGAAACTTTATAGATTATTTGAAAGAAAGGAAAGCGAGAGAAAATAAAGTGTGCATGGAAATGGTAAGGAAGGTAACATGAAATTTGGTATTGTTAACTTCCAGAGAGAAAATAAAGTGTGCATGGAAATGGTAAGGAAGGTAACATGAAATTTGGTATTGTTAACTTCCAGAGAGAAAATAAAGTGTGCATGGAAATGGTAAGGAAGGTAACATTAAATTTGGTATTGTTAACTTCCAGAGAGAAAATAAAGTGTGCATGGAAATGGTAAGGAAGGTAACATGAAATTTGGTATTGTTAACTTCCAAACCCACCGCCCATAATGTTTTTAAAAACAAAGACCGCGTTTAAGATCATAGCGTGTATTCTCCAACTAAGAGACTTTTAAGTGCCATGCCTTACTTTTGTTCATTTTCAAACCCGTTTTGTCAGTGGAAACTTTAAATGACTTTCAAAGATTGTTTTCAACACATTGACTTGGAACTTTTTTTTCTTCCTTTTATTAATTGCACTTGTATATTTGGTCTCTCTCTAGTTTTAAGTTTGGAATTTAATCCACCCCCCTTCCCTAAAAAGATCTTACAGTCAAAATTTTGATGAGTGATATATTTTTGAATAACTGTGATAAGTGAGTTTGGAGATGTGAATACTGTTGTGTGAAAATATATTAATTCAAGTGTTGTAATCGGTTAACACGGGAGTGTAATCGGTTATAGCCTGGTGAAATCACTTTTGAAAAGGGAAAAAACACTTTTGAAGTTAGCCGAGTGGATACCATATCTTTTTATGACACTATTGATATACTTACCGAGAAGTCATCAACCATATATATAGAGGAACATACCTTATTACCTTTCTTACACAACTTTCTTAATATTAAGTAACTTGTGTGATAATGTTATAGTTAATCAAGACAACTAAAAGGTAAGATTAGGTATACTACTATGTCTTAAAGATCCAATGATTCTGTTTTGTTGTTATTAGGTGAAGAGATTTCTAAAGAACTTGTGTGATAATGTAGAAGTTTTTCCATTCCTTCATCATTTATTTGATGAGTAAGGTAAAAGAGACCATTGAATAACTTTTTAAAGAAAAAATTATTATTTTGAAGAAAACTCACTACAAGAAAAATATCATTTTACGACACATAGATTGCGACACTTACTTGATACCCGTCGTAACTCTAATATAGAGACGCGTGTCACAACGGTATACACCAACCATCCTAAAAATTATTTCACGACGGTTTAAAAATCGCCGCATGAAAAAATCTAATTACTTGAAAAAAATTATTTGAAAATCATCAAAGACCACGACACTGACTTACCGTCGTGTCCAATTACTTAAAAATTACCAAATTCACAATGGTGAACATACTGTTGCCTACAATTACAAAACATCCACGACATGGTCCCACCGTCGTCATCCAACAACTCATATTTTGCGCAGTGCCCTTGTGTTTTGTCTTCACTGCCAAACAGAATTCACGCACGCAAATGAGTTAGGGTTTTGATTCATCGTCAAATAATTTCTCTCAGCCAAACAGAATTCATGCACGCAAATGAGTTAGGGTTTTGATTCATCGTCAAATAATTTTGCTCAACCACACAAATGGGTTTAGGGTTTTGTATCGTCGTCAAATAATTTCTCTCAGCCACGCACGCCGTCAAAGTAACCACCATCAATTTGAATCTTAACAGGTTTGTCTTCTCAAACCCTAAATCCCTTTTCAAGCCCTAAATTTTTTCAGTAAATATATGTGATGAATGAATTCTACTCTTCAAAAATCCCAATGTTTCTTTTCTGAGATATATTGAAGACATAAAAATGTATTGGCTGATTTATAAGTTCTGAGTTTATAAGTGAAAATGTATTCAATTTGTGATTTATAAGTTCTGAGTTTCAGTTATGCGTTTTGAGTTTGATTTTATAAGTTCTGAATATGCTGCTGAGATGAATGTGCTGATGAGTTTGAGTTTTGAGTTACAGTGGAAATGCTATTGAACTGAATATGCTGTCTTTGGAAATATAAAATATTTTTATGCAAATATGTGTGTTTTTGTTTCATATTGTATATTCTGGAAATGATGCATTATGAAGCAAGTACTGAGGATTATGTTTATTGAAAAACTGGAGTTTGATTACATTAGAATAAGACTACAACATATTGGAACAATTTTGTTGTTAGGAAATACAAAAGAAGTTAATACTAGATAGGTATATAACTTGTAACCATGTAAAAGAGCAGCCTTGAAATGAGATAGGTATATAACTTGTAAGCAATTTCTTCTAATTTTATAAATGAGATTAATGATTCTGTAGGAATTACAGTCTCACAATATTTGAAACTTGTATTTGGAATTTTAAAATAGAACCAAATTTTTCCAATCTCACAAACACATAGCATCCACATGGTAACAGAAGGAAACTACTATCGTTTGACCAAATTTTGTTGACAGGCATGTGAACAACTGAAGCTAGCTATGACTATAGTACATTTTATTTTAGGTGTAATTGGGTGTTATGCATGTTCCTGTTCTTCAAAATTGTTGCCCTTTTTTCACCATAGATTCAAAGGATAAAATTAAAATATGAATATGATTTTCTATGCTTTTATTTATTATCATTAAAATAATTTCAATAGGAAATGGATTAATGAACCTTTGCAGTTCTCATAAGCAGCGGATCTGAAACCTTAAAATAACATCTCTACACATCATATGTTAAAAATGCATATCATACAATTCCCTAACAATTGAGGAGGTGTTTTAGTTACTTTCATTAATAGATAAAATGAACTTTATATACTTAACTAGTAAGAATTATATTAGAGTCTAGCTAGCAATTATTTAGCACCGCCATATAGTTCCTTAACTTATAAATTTAGTGTACTTTCCAGCCTATATAATTGTATCTCATCTATGAGATAGTGATATTAACTTTAAATGTATTTGCTGATTTATAATTTTTGAGTTTATAAGTGAAAATGTATTCAATTTGTGATTTAAAAGTTGAGTTTTAGTTATGAGTTTTGAGTTTGATTTTATAAGTTCTGAATATGTTGCTGAGATGAATGTGCTGATGAGTTTGAGTTTTGAGTTATAGTGGAAATTCTGCTGAACTGAATATGCTGTCTTTGGAAATATAAAATATTTTTCTGCAAATATGTGTGTTTTTGTTTCATATTGTATATTTTGGAAATGATGCATTATGAAGCAGGTACTGAGGATTATGTTTATTGAAAAGGTTGTACATTAGAATATGTTGTAAAAGGTTGTACAACCTGTTATTGATCTTCAGGCAGAATAAGACAACTGATAATAGCAGGCATAATCTTTCCTAACCTATTAGTAATGATCTTCAAAGTTATCTTGTAAAAGGTTGTACAACCTGTTATTGGCCTATAGTCCCTCACATACTTAGCATCATCCTTCTTAGGGATCAAAGTAACAATTGTTTTGTTAAACACCCTATAAAGCTTACTCTGCTAAAAAAACTCCCTTATAGCAGCAATCACATCACTTTTAACAGTATCCCACTAGGACTTAAAAAATATAGAACCATATCCATCACTTTTAACAATATCCCATAGTAAAATTGATAATATATCTCCTTCTCCCTATTTTACCTAAGTCTTAGCTTATGCTTCATTTTGTTTTTCTGTGTTGTGTTTGTTTTGCTTTTGAACATTAGAATGTGTAGTATTGGGCTTTCATAGTTTAGTCTGATAGCCCATTGATAAATTTGCCTAGCTTGTAACACTCCTTTTCTATTTTAAAAAAAGTTTGTAGTACACTTTTTGCTGTTGCAATTGTTTCAAGAAGTTTTTCCTGTCACTTTTTCTTAAAATAGAAACCTCACTGACAAGAAAATATCTTTGGTCCATACTCAGTTGACAACCCTGTCTCAAGGCTTATATTAAAATTGGAGGAATATCTAAAGAAGCATTTTAGAGAGTTCAGGCATGCCCATTGCTCTCCTTTAAAGCAGGTAAAATTAGCTAAGTTAATTTTCTATGTTCTGTTTGGATACCTGCTCTTCTTTAAAGTAGGTTAAATTATCTAAGTCAATCTTTTATAATCTGTTTGGATACCCCTTTTTTTAACTTGAATCGTCAACTAAAATTTGTTTCTACCAATTAGATTTGCTTCCAGCAACATGCTCTGCAAATTTATGTGTTTATGTATTATTATGATATTTATACCATGGTAAAATTGATACTATATCTCCTTCTCCCTATTTGACCTAAGTCTTAGCTTATGCTTCATTTTGTTTTTCTGTGTTGTGTTTGTTTTGCTTTTGAACATTAGAATGTGTTCTATTGGGCCTTCATAGTTTAGTCTGACAGCCCATTGATAAATCTTGCCTAGCTTGTAGCAATCATTTTCTGTTTTTAAAAAAGGTTGTAGCACACTTTTTGCTATTGCAATTGTTTCAAGAAGTTTTTCCTGTCACTTTTTCTTAAAATAGAAACCTCACTGACAAGAAAATATCTTTGGTCCATACTCAGATGACAACCATATCTCAAGGTTTATATTCAAATTGGAGGAATATCTAAAGAAGCATTTTAGAGAGTTTAGGCATGTCTGTTGCTCTCCTTTAAAGCAGGTAAAATTAACTAAGTTAATTTTCTATATTCTGTTTGGATACCTGCTCTCCTTTAAAGTAGGTTAAATTATCTAAGACAATCTTTTATAATATGTTTGGATATCCCTTTTTTTAACTTGAATCGTCAACTAAAATTTGTTGCTACCAATTAGTTTTGCTTCCAGCAACATGCTCTGCAAATTTCCGTGTTTATGTATTATTATGAGATTTATACCATGGTAAAATTAATACTATATCTCCTTCTCCCTATTTATACCATATAATATAATATCTATATTTTTATTTTTTGAAGAAATGGATAAGTCATGGATTACTAAGCCCCTACCATCGATTGCGTATCAACAAGGGATAAAAGAATTTATCGGTTTTTCATTTAAAGGTGAAAAAGAAAACGATGGAGTAATATGCCCTTGCAAACTTTGCGGTTTCAGAAAATCAAAGAGTATGAGTGACATGTTCGACCACTTAAGTTGGTCACAATTTCCGCAGGGATACACCATGTGGATTCATCATGGAGTCTTTTGTACGACCTAGTACTATCTCCCCTAGTACTATTCCAAATATGGTTGAAGATATTATCATTGTCGAAGATCCTATTCAGAACATGATCAACGATGCATTTGGAGTTGATAGGAATCATGCAAATAAAATACCATATGCGTCAAATTTGGAGATTGACCAAGAAGATTATGCAATGCCAAGTGCAACTCAGGAAAGAAACGAAGCCAAGGAGTACTATGAATTGGCTAGAGAAGGAGAACAACCTTTATATGAATGGTGTAGACGATATCCAAGACTATCTTTTTTGGTTAAGTTGTACCATATAAAGTGTTTATGTGGATTGAGTGAGAAGGCAATGACAACGATTTTAGAGTTAATAAAAGATGCATTTGAATATGAAAACATTCCAAGTTCGTTCTATGAAGCTAAGAAATCAATCACAAAACTTGGTTTGAATTATGTAAAGATATTTGCATGTCCAAACGATTGTATGCTTTATTGGGGAGAAGATGAAGAGAGGGAGACTTGCAAAAATTGCAACACTTCAAAATGGAAAAAAATGAAGATGTCTCTGTTAACAAGAAAAAGAAGAAAATTCATGCCAAGGTTCTTTGTTATTTTCCATTAAAACCTAGATTACAGAGATTATTTTTGTCATCAAAGACGGCCGAGGATATGATATGGCATGCAACAGATACTAACAAGGATGGAATGTTGAGGCATCCTAGAGATTTAGAAGCTTGGAAGAAATTTGACTTGACACATACTTGGTTTTCATCAAGTCCATGAAATGTACGTCTTGCATTGGCTAGTGATAGGTTTAATCCTTTTGGTGTGATGAGTACAAACAATAGCATTTGGCCCGTTGTTCTCATTCCATATAACACTCCTCCATGGGTTTGCATGAAGAAGACATCATTTATAATGTCAATGATAATTCCCGGTAAAGAAACACCAGGAAATAATATTGATGTCTACTTACAACCCTTAGTCAAAGAGCTGAAGGAGTTATGGACATATGGTGTGGATACATACGATTCTTTCAAGAAAGAGATGTTCAAGTTGCATGCAAATTTGATGTGGACGATTAGTGACTTTCCAGGTTTGGGTGCACTTTCTGGGTGGAACACATACACTGGACTTGCTTGCCCATCATGTAACTTTCAAACTACACCTCTCCGTCTTAAAGCTAGTCGTAAATGGTGTTTTATGGGTCATCACCGTTTCCTTGATCGGAGACACAGGTTTAGATTGAACAGGAATCACTTTAATGGTGAACAAGAAATGCAGAGTCCACCGAGAACATTATCTGGACATGAAGTTTTTGAACAGGTTAAAGATGTCGAAGTCATCTTTGGTAAAAAGCTAGTGAAAGAAAAATCGGTAAAAAGAACACATGAGGGACAACTTATAGAAGGTGATAGTACAGAGGGTTGTCCTACACAAGGTCATCCTCAATAATGGAAAAAGAAAATCATATTTTTTGAACTTCCGTATTGGAAGGATAATCATTTGCGCCATAATCTTGATCTGATGCATATTGAGAAAAATGTGTGTGATAATGTCCTATTTACTTTACTAAATGATATGCAAAAGAGTAAAGACCATTATAAAGCTCGAGAAGACCTTCAAAATATGGGCATAAGACATGAGCTTTGGCCTGATGAAAATGGTAGAATTTCTCTGGCAGCCTTTACTTTAACGGGTAAAGATAAAAGGAATTTTTTAACAACTTTAAGGAATATTAGGGTGCCTGATGGTTATTCAAGCAACATTTCTAGATGCATTAACTTAGTAAATCTCAAGGTGAATGGAATGATAAAGAGTCATGATTGTCATATATTAATGGAACAACTTCTACCATTATCAATTCGCACAACATTATCTCATGAGATTTCATCAGTTTTAATTGAGTTGTGCTCATTCTTTAGACAATTATGTGCCAAGATATTGAAAATTGAAGACTTGGAAAAATTGAAAAAACCAAATTGTCCTCACTTTATGCCACATGGAAATGTTATTTCCTCCCTCGTTCTTCACGGTTATGATCCACTTAGTTGTTCACCTTGTTGAAGAAATTAAACTTGGAGATCCTATTCATTATCGATGGATGTATCCTATTGAAAGGTAAACTATGTGATTTTGTTCTAATGTTACTAACTTAGAAAGTAGAAATTTTTTAACCGATATTATTGTGGTTCAATAATAGGTACTTGGGAAAACTTAAATCACATGTACGTCATAAGGCAAAACTAGAAGGGTCTATTGCGGAAGGGTACCGTTTTGAAGAGATTTTGACATTTTGTTCAAGATATCTAGAAAACATTGAGACTAGATGGAATCAACCTAGACGTGTAGATGATGACCCTATTGGTGATATCTAAATAGGTTCACGTGTAGCAGAATTGTTTCCTAGAGTTGGAAAACTTGTGGGTGGATCTTCGTATTACACCCTAACACCAATTGAAAAGTTGCAGGCTCATAGACACGTTTTAACGAATTGTCCAATAGTAGACGACTATCTAAAGTAAGTAGTTTTATTCCATTTAAGTAGTTTCATCTACACTATTAAGATTTTTTTCCATCTAATATCGAATAATCAAATAGGCAGTTTCGAAGTATTACTCACAACCAAATGAGGCACAGTCAAAGAAGTGCTGCTGAGATAGACAAGAAGGTTCATAGAGAGTTTGCTCATTGGTTCCGCAATCGTGTGAGTTTTGTACAAAATAGATGTTTGTATTGAATTGGTTTTTAATTATAACAAGACTAATTGAATGTTGTATCGTGTATAGATTTGCAACAATCATGACATCATTCATGAACCAGATAAAGATGTTTTCATTAGTCTTGCTCATGGCCCTTTTGATAAAGTTAAAAGATTTATCGCGTTCAATATCAATGGATTCAAGTTTTGAACATTGGAACGAGACAATCTTTTAAAAACTCAAAACAGTGGAGTTTTTGGCATGTTTGGGACACGGAGTTATTCAAGCAATAGTGATACTCAAATGAGATTTGGAGGGGTCCCTTACTATGGAAGATTGATAGACATTATTGTGCTTTCCTATGATGGCTTCATAGTGCCCATGTTTAAATGTGAATGGGATAATACCACAAACCCAAGAGGCATTAAAATAGATAAGTTGGGTTTTACCTCTATAAACTTTGCAAGACTACTACATAATGGGGAACATGAAGATAATGAGCCATACATTCAAGCATCAGAAGCTCATATGGTTTTTTATGTGGATGATGAGAGTGAACGAGGATGGAGCATACATGTTCATTTGAAGCCAAGAGACTTGTATGACATGGGTGGAAATGATGAAATTATGACGCCCATTGAGCCATATCCATCACAAATTTTGGAACAAATTTTTTCGAATGATGATCTTGGAGCTTTAGCGGAAATGGTGACAATAATTAAGATATAGTTTTTTATTGATAAGAAGTCTAGTTTGTTTGTAACTTGTATGAGACTTATGTTTTTTGTTGCTTATCCCTAATTAATGTATTAGATGACATTGTTACTCTATGTTTTTTGTTGCTTATCCCTAATTAATGTATTATATGAAATTGTTACTCTATTTTTTTGTTGCTTATCCCTAATTAATGTATTAGATGACATTGTTACTCTATGTTTTATTGCATAATTTGTATTTTATTTTGTGTTTTAATACATATACTTGCAGTTGAAGCCTGTTGTGAGACAATGACTACACCATATGAGAATATGCACCTCAAAAGAATGGCAGAGAATAAGAAAAAACTAGAGGCTCTCAATCTTCCTACACTCTCTCAATCCCTTAACAAATCATCTGGGTCTTATTCCAAACCATCACTGGTTAGTAATAAATTCTCAATACTACTCCATACAAATTAATTATATTGATTGTTGACTGATATTCACTGATGCATTTTATTTAGTCTGTGAAGGGTCGTCCAAAGTTTGTACAACCTGGAGAGCTTGAAGTAAACAAAAAGCGCCTACGTTCAACTACGACTCGCAAATCATCAATAACCCCTCCCCCGATCAAAACTACAATAAATTCTCCACCAATCCAAACCATAATAACCCCTCCCCCGATCAAAACTACAATAACTTCTCCGCCAATCCAAACCACAATAACCCCTCCCCGATCAAAACTACAATAACTTCTCCACCAATCCAAACTACAATAACCCCTCCCCCGATAAAAACTACAATAACCCCTCCACCTATCCAAACTGCAAAAGATGTTGTGGTAGAATATGAGGATGAAGATGTTGTGGAAGGAGATGAGGCCGAATATTATGTGGCAGGAGATGAGGCCGAAGATGTTGTGGTAGAATATGAGGATGAAGATGTTGTGGAAGGAGATGAGGCTGAATATTATGTGGCAGGAGATGAGGCCGAAGATGTTGTGGTAGGAGATGAGGCTGAAGATGTTGTGGTAGGAGATGAGGCTGAAGATGTTGTTAAAGTGGCTATATCTGTGTATTGGGATGTAAAAGTCATAAGTAATTAATTTAAAGTTAAAGTATTTGTAAATAATTTAAATTTTTTACATAGTTGAGTTATGAAATTAATTTGTTTACTTTTTATATGATAGATGAGGAGGGTAATGTTTCAAACACATGTTTATGTGTGAAAGACTTGGTTGCGAAATCAGAGCTGGATGGAACACGGATAATACTTGACTTCAATAAGGATCATTATTCAATAGGGCAAGCTTCTGGTTTGTTAGCAGGTGTTGTACCCCAAAATTTTCCCTCTCATTTATCAATATTTTTCTCACAAGACTTCTTGGACTCAAGACAAGATTAGGGTTTGGTCAGCTCAAGACATCTCATCCTGCACTGATCACCCAAAATTAGGGTTTGAGTTTGCACATGGATTTTTGGACCATCAATGCTTCATGTGACTTTCATACATCATTTTTGACCCCTAAGATTGCTCATGTTAAGTTTCAAGCCTTAAACCACATTTTTTATCAGTCAATTGGACAGTTGACCTAAAAATCAATTGTATTGGGGAAAAAGTCAACCATGGCCAATTTACAGTCAAATTTCATAATTTTGTATCCACATCAACATTTTAGACTCATATGTACCATTTGATCAAGTTTGGATCACAACTCCTCAAGAAATTTGATCAAATCATCAAAAGGGCAAAATGGTCAAAATTAGGGTTTTGACTGAGAAAGGGCAATTTCTGATTTTTAACCTAGCCAATGACCAATTGGGTTCAAACATGATTTCAAGGGTTCAATGGCATCATATTGACCTAATCACATAGTTCAAAAGATCTCAAGTTCATTGGATTAACAGATGGATTTCCCAATCAACTGATCAAAAGTCAACTGTACACTGAAAAGTCAAACTTTGACTTTTTGGTCAAAATAAAATGCCAAGGGTCATAATTCATCAAGATATGTAAAAATATGAAACTTGTTCACCAAGAAAACCAATTTTGAAAATTAGGGTTTTGAATTTGAAAATTTTCATAACTTAGAATTTTTCTAAGTATGAAAATTTTCTTATTTTTCCTAACTTTCCACCACTTTTTAACCATGATGAAATTTGATTCAAAGAAAACTTCCAACATGAAAGTTTTAGTCCTCCATTAAATATACAACTTTTCTTCACAAACTTTTCCCAAAAGATGCTCGAATCTCAAGTTATGAATTTGTGAACATATGTCCATTAACTAAATAACTTAGTGAAATTTTGCCCTAATTTAGGCAGGTTTTGGACCCAACTTCATAGACATTTTTCACCTAGTTCCAAGAGGTATCTAAAATTTCATTTCAAAGATGGATTATAGAGCACATTGCATGCTTTCCAAAATTTCCAAGAACTCCCCAAGATCATTTTTGGTTAGGGAGAATCGAAGAAGGGAAGTTGGCATTTTATCACTTTTGATCAAGCCATTTTTACAAAGCATCAAGTTGCAAATCAGATCTTTGATGTTTGAATCTTGCTTTACAGGTCCTAAACTCATTCTACACTCCATAATTAAATGCAAACTCAGAAGATAAAGGCTTTATCTTTGCTTTTGAGGCTTTGTACAAGTTACATTTCCATTTTTGGCCAAAAGTGCACAATGCCATTTTCATAAAGAGAAGCTTTTATAACTTTATCAATCTTGAGCCTTGGACCTGTCTCTTTGATGCAAGCATTTTACACAACTCTCAGGCATTTGGTACAAGCTCTTTCCAGTCCTCAAGCAAGCAAGGACAAGCATGTAGCATAAGTCACTTCACTTTACTTCAAAAGCAAGAAAGTTGGTGAAAAGGAAAGCTTGCACATCTGTTAAGAAGCTGACTTTGTATCCATTCTATACAAGTATACAAACTTGTCACAATGCAAAACATGATTTTCTTGCATCCAGAACTCACTCAAACTCAAAAACTCCAAATTTCTGCCCAAACTCAGCATTTCTGTAAAATCATTGCCAACTAATTTTTGGCTCGTGCGTTTTGTATTCTAACACTTCAAACACCTCATACACATCATACCAAAGCTATCCAAGCCCTTGCCCTGGTTCTGTAACCCCTATTTCAGCCTTTGCCATTTTCAAACTTGAAGCTTGCAGCTTGACTTGTGCAGAGATTTCCAGCTATCCTCAAAGAAAACTAAGCATTGGAATAGCTTGAAGGAAGTTCACACAATCCTCAGGCCTCCATTAAAGTCCATACATTGCTCTATCCAAATCCAGCTGAAGGAGGTATATTTATTAAACTCTATCTCTGTATTTAGGTATCCTCAAGCCACGATTTGTGAAGAAAAAATGTAGCCCATAACATGGTGAAGCTGTACATATGCATACTTTTCATTTATATTAACTATGCTGTGAGAATTTGAAGCTTGAAGTTCATGAAATTTTTAGGTCACAAATTAGGGGTCCCAAAATTCTGTGATCTTTGAGAGTTAGCTTACAAATTTTATATGGTTGGAATCGTGAGATTAAATGCCACAAGTTTCATGTTATGAGTTTTTGTTTTTGTGCAACCATGTGAAAGTTACAGGTTTGAACATAAAACGCGCGAAGGAGAAGTCTGGCTGGAGGACAGGGATGAAGTCTGGGCTTTTTGGCGCTTTTGGGCTTTTTGTTTTCACTATTTGCACCCCCTGACTTACTTTTACACCCCCCCTGACTTATTTGTTTTATTTTTCATATTTTTTTTTCCATATTTTCATATTTATTGCTTTTATTTATTTTTTGAGTAATAAAAATCCCAAAAATAATTTCTTTATTTTTTACAATTTTATTTTTTTAATTTTTTTACATAGAAATTAATTTATTTAATAGAATAGAACTTATTTTCCTAAATAAACTTGTAAATATATTTAAAAATACTTAATATTTTTATTATGTTATTTATACTCATAAAATATTTATTTTCTATACATATTTATTTTTTAATATTTAAGTATAATATTATGTATTATTTTCTTGTACAAAAAATGGACAAAATAATAATAATATAAAGCATTATTTTCTTTTAGTTAAAAACTAGGATTTCACCCTTCCAAAAATAATATTATTTTTCCTTTCTTTTTAGGGTTTAAATTAATTTTTTTTCTCATACAAAAAACAAAATACCAAAACATTTTACATAAATACATTGCATTGCATTTTAAATACTTGTACATTTATTTAATTCGCGCAGTATTCGATTGGGTTGTAATAATATTTTTTAGGTTTATATTTGTGCAAAATCCCTATTCAAAACTTGTATCCCCCCTCCCATAATAATTGTTGTAATAGCTTAGTTTATTTTACCCAATTTATTGCTTTCATATAACATGTTTAGTAAAACTAGGGTTTGCATGACAAGAACAAAAACAAAGCAAATAGAAAACCCTAAATGCAAGACAAAAGCATGAAAATGACACACTTTGCACACAAACACCCTTAGGGTTTCTCCCA